GGGGGGGGGGGGGGGGGGGGGGGGGGGGGGGGGGGGGGGGGGGGGGGGGGGGGGGGGGGGGGGGGGGGGGGGGGGGGGGGGGGGGGGGGGGGGGGGAGGCATTTGGCGGATGGCGTACCCCCTCGATGCATTCCGTAAGCGGTATTGTGAACATTTAGGACGCATTCCGTTGGGGGCGGGCGCGGCGCGCGCTTAGTTTCTACGTTTGAGAGGGCGGGGGGTGTACCGATATTTCACTGCTGTGTTGAATTTTTTATCGGCCAGCATCCAGCTCGGGGATGGATGTAGCGTCGCTGACGGCTGTGTATGGGAGTTGAAGGAGAAGGGGAAGGAATAGAGGAAAGCAAACGAAGGATCGAGATTGTGTCAAGCAGGACCGAGATTGTACAGTCCCAAGCAATTTTTCGATTGTATTTTATCTCGTGAAAGAGGTAGGCAGGAAGCTACAGTAGCCTAACTTGAGGAGCTTGTGTGCTTGTGGTGACGTGGGCTACACTGCGTCGAGAGAAAGATCCCTCAACTCTTGTCGTTGTTGGTCGACAAAACTGCTGCTGCTGCTGCTGCTGCTGCTGCTGCTGCTGTTGGCATGGGGGGCGGCGCCGCGGACGGCGCTTTCGGGTGATAATATATTATGAAAATGAGACAGGTGATGGACCTGGAGTGTGAGGACAAGGACGTGGGGTTGGAGGAGCTGCGATGGATCCACAGACACAAGACGGGGGCGCTGCTTAAGGCGAGCGGGTCTACTGTTTTGTGGGCTTGGATGCTTCTTGTGTGCATCACTCTTTTGTTTCAAGTACCGTTGACGCATTTCCAGTACGCACGATGATTGAGAGCTACGCTTAAACGCAGCAAATAATTCACGCTGTTGTCTTCCACCTGTAACGAACTGCTCTCTTTTCAGTACGACAGCAGAGTTTTCCCGTTGAAGTAAGGTAAACACGTTGAATTTTGAGCATTAGATTTTAAGAACATAAACCTTCTGAGACCATAAAAGTTTGCGGTGAATTCGTTCTTGTTATTGCCATCCCCCACACTCTTTGCTACCGAACTCGGGAACCTTTTTTTTATGCGATATATAGCACGACGGATTACACGGGGTGCTTCGGTTTAGTTGTGATCTGGTGGGCAACTATGACTGTCCCTGGTTGTTCAACGGTCCTGGTGTGTTTTTTGGCGGCGAGCTGACAACACTTAAATGCAGAGTACACTCCACATCTGCTCTTGTTTCACTACTACAGTTGTCTCAAGCTTTTGTTCGTGCGGAAAAATGACGTCATGATGAGCTTGGTGACCCTCTTTCGCCGTTTTAGTTTCAGTCACTCCTCCTTTCGTTGGGTTTTTTCTTCGTTGTCTTTTTCAGTGGCCTGGAGGCGTCTTTTGAGTATATATTTTGTACTTCTACATCGTTGCATCTTTTCTCCATGATTTTGCTGACGACTGCAAGTTGGTTTCTGTCGCTGTGTTCGACAACCTCGTCGTTAATTGTTGTTGTCGTGTTTTCTCTTCCTAAACCTAGGTGGCGTGCACCGCGGGGGCTCTCCTTGGCGGGGCCTCGGATAAGGATGTCAAGAACATGGAGGTGTTTAGCGAGTCCATCGGGCTGGCCTTCCAAGGTGAGAAGGAATGGAAGAAGCAAGAGGCAACGAGGGCCCGAAAAAGTAAAGGCGCTTCTATTTAGCAGAGGATGTATTCGTGTGCGCGGAACGTGGTCCCCAAAGACATGACCACCAGTCCAGAATCCCCCCTCCCCCACCCCCCCACGACGATGTGAAGAAGTAAATGCTGCTGAATTATAACAGGCGCACCCCGAAGGTTGTCGTTGTCTTTCCTGGGGGAAGGGAAAGGTGTAAGAGTATGTGGTTTGTGTCAAACTATGGCCATCATTTCGTTTCGTGGCAAGGAATGTATCACCCAGCCCCTGCCCCCCGTGCCCTACGCTTTGTCATTTGCTAGGCAGTAGCCTGGTCCGGTGTAAACCCGGCGTGCTTTGTGGGGGTGCGAGGTGAACGGTCGAAGGACAGCGGCATGCGCGGCTATGAGCACACACGCACCTCTCTTCTTGTCTTCCACCCTCGTCCCAGCCCAGCGCTATCTATTGTAGTCCACCCTCAACCGAAGTTCGTAGACGGACATGTTTTTTGCTTCCCCGAAACTGATCATTATTCAGTGACCGAAAACTATAGACACTGTACTTATCGAGCGAGCAAAGGACGGAGGCTAGTTTCTTCACTTGTTGTACCCCTCAAGTACCCAGGCCGCAGGTTCTTTGTGTTGTACTCTATTGTAGCCTTGTATACAAATGAACTGGTAATGACGACTCCGTTGGTGGCTTCGATTCTCGTTCGTCTGTTTCTTTCTGCGATTGTTGGGGCTCCTCTTTGACATTGACGGTGGGCAGTCGCGGACGACATCCTCGACTGCACGGCAACATCGGAACAGCTGGGCAAGACGGCGGGCAAGGTGCGGTACAAACAAAGAAAAGAAGCAGGGGAATTGGTACAGACGTACCCCACAGCCGATGCAAGAAAAATGTGACTACGTTGATTGCGAAACTGCGTTTCGTATTTTCCGATTCATCCACTGCCATTTTGCACCCTGTTTGTCCACATAGCTTTTCTTGAAAACGTAGCAAAGTGCTGCGCGCGGAGGAGGAGACGGCAGAAGAGATTCCTGATTTGATTCGACCGGTGGTTGGCTTGAGTTGTAAGCCATGTCGTCTCTGTTTGTCGACTTTTTCGGGTGAAACTGTTCAATGTCGACGTTAGTCCCAAAGGTCGGCGAAAGAAAATAGTTTCGGACGGATGGTTTCTATTTAGTGTGTGGCGGCAGTGAAAGTGATTGAGATTGAAGACGGCAACATGATGCTTCTCGATTGTGGAGATCGATAATAAAAGTCGCCTGGGTCGCCTCTCGATGGATGATATGCATATGCATAGACCGATGTAATTTGGACATTGCTGGCGACATGGATGACGCCCCCTACTGCTGCATGCTCTCGATTCAGCCGGTTGTTGCCGTTGGACCTCCTTGGTTGTTTTTCGACAAGGAGGCCATGCATAAGACTACGGCTTGCCGTATTCTCGATCACACAAGCGTGGGAATCCCTGTCTCATATCCTCGACTACTCGGCTGTGTTGTTGACCTGTGCCCCCGTCTTGAATCCTATTTTCATTTCTGGTGTTGATGAACTTGTGTGCATTCGTTTGTGGTTTTTGTGGTGTTGCTGAACTCGGCTTGTGAATGCGCTTTTTTCTTTTGTGGTGTTGATGAGCTTCGCTGTGGATTTGTTCCGTGTTTTTGTGGCGTTGCTGAACTTCTCTCGTCGATCCGAGTTTATTTGTGGCGTTGCTGGACTCTTGACTGTTGTGTGCTTGGCCACGGTAGGACGAAGCTGTGAACAAGACTACATACCCGAAGCTGATGGGGATGGACGGCGCCAAGAAGGAAGCGCGCAGGTATGTAACCGAGAAGAGAATCCTCCATCATTCGGAAAACTGGTGTAGTTTGTTTGTTTTTGGTGGAACGAGTAAGCGTCACCGCAACAAAGAGCCTCCCTGAACTGTCGATTTTTTTTGTATGTGTGAAGCGAGGAGGCGGTTGGTCACTTTTTTGTTCGATTCGTGTTGTCTGCTGTCTGTCTTCAAAATGACATCCGTTCTGACCTCTACATCCGACATCTCCTCTCTTGCTATTTAAAGCAAAAGAAGATGATGTCTTCAGTGGCCGTAAACTCGACCAAAAAAAGGTACAGAGGTGATGCGAAGTACTCGAGCAAGTTCCAATACTTGCAATAAATGCCTTAACAAAAGAGGAAGAGGAGAAAAACGCCGAGTGTCGACATGATGTGACTCTTGTTGACATGGAAACGGTGGTTCAAACAAGCAACTGATTCTCGGTAGCGGAAAAGGGCAAAGCACGAGCAGGGAAGCTGCACCCAATACTCGCAAACCGGCACCTCGATACACGCATCAAATTGACGGTTTTGAAGAGCATAATCGTACCGCCCCTAGAGTACGCGGGAGAAGTATGGGAAGGAAACAAGAAGGTAGTGAAAGAACTCGAGGCGGCGCAGATGAAAGCAGCGAAAACCATCCTAGGATGCTCCAAGCGCACAAGTAATGCAGCCGTCAGGGCAGAATTGTGGATCCAATCCCTACGGTCGGGAAGAGACGCGAGGAAGCTGACATGGCAGTATCGCATGTGCGGGATGGAAGAGGAGAGGTTGCCGAGAATTGTATGGGAGGCGAAGTGGGCAAACAAAAAGAGGGGTAGACAACCCACGGAATGGGTCAAGGTTGTAGAGGACGTATGGAAGGGGCTCGACATCG